CCATCTCTAATGTATTTTATGTTCCTAACTTGAAAAGCAATTTGTTGAGTGTTGGTCAATTGCAGGAAAAAGGTTATATAATAACCATACAAAAAGATTCTTATGAGATATATGATCCTATCAGAGGAGCCATTGCAGTTGTTGAAATGAGTTCTAACAGGTTGTTTCCTTAGAAGATTCAAAGTGCACAGACTTGCTTGATGAGTGAAATGAAGGATCTCTCATGTCTTTGGCATTTCCGCTACGGCCACTTAAATTTCAATGGATTAAAGACTCTTCAGCAGAAGAACATGGTGATAGGTCTTCCACAAATTGTCAATCCATCTCAAATTTGTGAAGAATGTGTTGTTGGCAAACAACATCGTTCATCGTTCCCACAAGGAAAATCATGGAGAGCAAAACAAGTTTTGGAGTTGATTCATACTGACATTTTTGGGCCAATTAATCCTACCTAAAAATGGTGGTAAACGCTACTTCATTGCATTCCTTGATGATTTTAGTAGAAAAACATGGGTTTATTTTCTACAAGAAAAATCTGAGGCATTATCAATTTTCAAACACTACAAAGCACTTGTTGAAAAAGGAAGTGGGCATGTAATCAATGTTCTTCACAGTGATCGTGGTGGTGAATACAACTCACGATAATTTGCACATTTTTGTGACACATACAGAATCAAGAGGCAAGTTACAGCAGCTTACACACCACAACATAATGGCGTTGCAGAAAGGAAGAATCGGACAATCTTGAATATGGTTCGAACCATTTTAAAGATGAGTGGAGTGCCAAGAAATGTTTGGCCAGAAGTTGTAAATTGGAGAATTCATTTGCTAGACAGAAGCCCCACCTTTGTTGTGAAGAACATGACACCTGAAGAAGCATGGAATTGACACAAACCAAGTGTTGAGCATTTCAGAATTTTTGGTTGCATAGCTTATGCCCATGTTCCAGACCAGAAAAGGAAAAAATCTTGATGATAAAGGTGAAATGTGTGTATTCCTTGGTGTTAGTGAGACATCCAAAGCATATAAATTGTACAATCCACTCACTAAAAAGATTGTGACAAGCAGAGATGTCGTCTTTGATGAAAAAAGAACTTGGGAATGGAATGGACAACAACCTACTCCAAATATTTTAGAATTTGGATTTGAAGAAGATGATCAAGAGAATGGGCAGCAGCCTTGTACAAATAATTCACAAGTTGATTACGGGGAAGAAGAAAAAATTACGACACCAACCAGAGTTGAAAATTCAGCAAATGCATATGTTGAACCTCATAGAAGCAGCATTCGAAAAAGGTCGGCTTGGATGGAAGATTTGGAGGTGACGGGAATTAATCAAATTGATGATCCTGTTACTCATTTTGCATTATTTGCAGATTGTGATCCCACAACCTTTGAGACTGCGGTCCAAGAAGCAAAATGGAAAAAGGCAATGGATGAAGAAATTGAAGCCATAGAAAGAAATCATACATGGGAACTAGTTAATCTTCCACATGGGCAGAAAACTGTTGGTGTAAAATGGCTTTTCAAAACTAAATGAAAAGAAGATGGTGAAGTTGACAAGTACAAGGCAAGATTAGTGGCAAAAGGATACAACCAAGAATATGGTGTGGATTATAAAGAGGTGTTCGCTCCGGTTGCAAGACATGATACCATCAGATTGGTGATTGCCATATTAGCTCAAAATTCATGGCCTACCTATCAAATGGATGTTAAATCAGCATTTCTTTATGGAACCTTGAATGAGCAGGTATTTGTTGATCAACCCCCTGGCTATATTAAAGTTGGAAATGAACATAAAGTGTATAGATTGAAGAAGGCACTTTATGGATTAAAACAAGCTCCAAGAGCTTGGTATAGTCGAATTGAAGCATATTTTTTGAAAGAAAGATTTAAGAAATGCCCATATAAACACACACTCTTTGTTAAAGTTGGACCAGAAGGAAAAATGCTTATTGTTTGCTTAAATGTAGATGATCTTATATTTACTGGAAATGACTCAGGAATGTATGAAAAGTTCAAAAAGTATATGAAGATTGAGTTTGAAATGACTGGTCTTGGCTTGATGCATTATTTTCTTGGCATAGAAGTCGTGCAATCAGCTACTAGATATTTTATTTCTCAAAAGAAATATGCCCAAGATCTCTTAAACAGGTTTGAGATGCATGATTGCAATCCCGTAAGTACTCCATGTGAATATGGCATGAAACTTAACAAAGATTCTGAAGGGAAAAGGGTGGATGACACACTATCTAAAAAAATAGTGGGTAGCTTGATGTATTTAACTGCTACAAGACCTAACATAATGCATTCTGTCAGCCTAGTTAGTAGATACATGGAAAGTCCAACTGAAATGCATCTCTTAGCTGCCAAAAGAATCCTTTGTTATCTTCAAGGAACAAAACAACTTGGGCTATTTTTCAAGAAGGGTGAAAAATCAAAATTGATTGGGTTCACTGATAGTGACTTTGTAGAGGATCAAGATGATAGGAGAAGTACT